TGAAGGGAAAACGGAATGAGAGGGAGAATAAACGAGAGAATGAGAGCGATTGAAAGACCATAAAAGGGAATGAAGGGAAAACGGAATGAGAGGGAGAATAAACGAGAGAATGAGAGCGATTGAAAGACCATAAAAGGGAATGAAGGGAAAACGGAATGAGAGGGAGAATAAACGAGAGAATGAGAGCGATTGAAAGACCATAAAAGGGAATGAAGGGAAAACGGAATGAGAGGGAGAATAAACGAGAGAATGAGAGCGATTGAAACAGGAAAAGAAATAACGCAACATGAAAAGTGAAGGACTAGTAAAGAACTTAGAAACGAACGATTGTAAGCGCTTAAACAACGATTTGCAGATGAAAAAAAAAAATTAATAATCTTTAAACCTTACTTCCCCTAACCCTTTGCCTCCCAGGTTCTCTTTAGTAATTCTCCTGACTGTACTCCATACAGATCTTATGGTCTTAGTTCCGAGAATTTGGTATCGATTCAACCGAAAATCCCCTGATTAATATTTTTCTATATTCTCATCAATTTTCTCCTTAATAATGCATTGATTTTGTAAGGAGAAATTCTGTCTTGGTCATTCATGGGAGTTCAAGGGTTAAAGCTTACGATCGATAGGAGCAGTAAAAAGTGAAAAGCCGACCTGGTAATCCACTGGGATAAGCGGATGATGCGGAGGAAATGCACGCGTTGATCCTTTCCTGTGCACTAACAGAGTCTTCTGCGCACCGTCTAATATCTAATGCACCGGTTAAGGTAAGTAATCAAGTAATTTTAAAGCTCCAAAGCTTAAAAAATCCAAAGAGAAGAAGATCTAGTTGTAATAATAACAAAGAATACATGTTCCTCGATCTTTGCAATGTTGTGTGACACGTCATAGATCACTTGCATGTCTAAGTCGTCTGGGGTACTCTTGAAAACTTTTCCGAAAGCTTGTCTTGTCAAAAATGTCATCGTTGAACGATTCACCCAAGCGTAATTCGCTGCTGCAGCCATGCCTTTGAGGTAATCTTCACCTTCTTGTGAGTTAATTCTGGCACAAGCAAGCTGTAAAAGAACCAAATATAGGGTTGTCAAGACTAGTGTTGAAAACGAGAAACAAATCGACGGATTCTTCCAGATAAGGGGAAGAATAAACCAATCATAACTTCAGATTCCAGACCCTTTTGAGTAGAGTATTGCAATAGTGACTGATTTGTTGTAATTCCAAGTAGAAGCAAGCAGTTTAGACGGTTGAACATGAAAAGTTTTTCTCAGTAAGTTGCATTGTTTTAAAACTGAAATGTAAGGGGAACTGGAAGAGGGGAAATTTGCTACGCTAAAAACATGAATGATTTAACGATGACTTAAGGCTCCGGCTTAGTCGCGATTACGAAACCAATTTTCAATTTCATTGATTTAAGAACAACCGAACTACTCTGATTCTGGTCTTCGTTAATGAAATGGTGCTCTTTGTCCACATGCCCTAGTAGAGCCGTTCTTTCAGCTGACCATTGATCGCACTGGCAAAAATGACTCAGCAGATACCAAAAACGGAGAAAAGAGACAAAGCCGATTTACATTTTCCCTATCACAGCGAAACTTCTCCAGACCAACAAATTAAAATTGCAATGGGAAAAATTACCCATGCATTGACGTAGAGTGCTGTCCATTCTGTAGATGTAGTGAATTAATCACCATGTTGAGTTTTCCCTTCTTTGCTAAATCAGTCGACTGGACAAAAATACTCGTTGGACAAACTGTAAACTGAGCTTAAGGGAAATTCTACTTAAGCAAACCTGTCTGTCGTTGACTTCAATCTTGTCCCTTTTCATGGCCCTCTCCATTTCTACCAGTGCATCTGTAAAGCGAAGAAATTACGAATGCATCATTCTGGTTACTGCGATCATCTGAAGAAAAATCACGTCTTTCCTTCGGTGGAGACCCTCAAACTGCAAATTATTGCACATAAATGGCGCGTTTTCGACGTTCTCCGGTGCAGTCAGGGCAAAAGGCACACAATTAGTTTGCCAATGCAGTCTGCAAACCTTTGTCGCATATTTCAGAGCACTGTTTTCAAAGCTACTTGGTTTAGTGCAGATGGAGCCAAAAAAATGTCCACAACTTTGTGAAAGCTATTTATTCAGTGAGTGGGACTTAGTTTATTCATCGGAATCACTTTGCATGGACGTTGAGAAGCTTGAGAGGGAAATGTCCCCAGAATTCCAAGTATTGAGCTGCAGATGCGTTTTGAAGGTTGAAAAGAACATCAAAGTATTCCATACGTAACGTCGATAATGGATTTAGTCATCTATCATTTAGAGAGAAGAGTTATATAAACCATTTACCAGTGGCCACTTGATGTCCAAGTCCTCTGCTGCCACTGTGGATCATCACACAAACCTATTAAACATAAATGATAAAATCATTGCCAAGAGCGTTAGCAAAAAATAGCCGACCATAAACAAAAGAGTTCCGAGTGAGACCCTGCCGATGTTTTTGGAATTGGTGGTCGTTTTTTCATAGTAGCTGAATGAGCATCAATTGGCAAAGACAGACAAACACAAGAATTGAGAGCTTATTATCCACCCAACCGAAATATGGCGTCCCATTTGAATCACCATTGTTCTGGACTTACTAGCCTCGTCTTCACGTGGAAACACTAAAGGATTATCACATGTGTGACAGGCTAGTAAGTCCAGAACTATGGCAATTCAACTTGGACGCCATATTTCGATTCGGTGTATTATCATAAGGTTTGAAACCTAACGAGGGAGACCTGGAAAAGACTTTCACTACACGCTCGAAACAAATCTCAAACCGCTTTATTTCACCCTTCAACTCCAAGAAGTGAATAACATGTAACTTCTCCCTATAATATCCGTCCATCATACACCGAGTAAGTAATGACAATCCTAAACTTCTCAGTAAGAACTTGTTACCTTGCTCTAACACCAAATTCTCGTAAATCTTCAGTTGCAAATGAGCATTTAACTGTTGTACATTTGAATTTATATTAAGGTACGTTACAAACCACGTGTTAGGGCTTACGTTATATTTGAATGTTACAAACGCGAAAGATGTAAATAGCGCGCGCTTGACTAGATCAAAAAATAATTAAATAAATAAATAAATAATAGATTTAAATTAAAAGACCAAGGAACAACATAATTAAAATGAATAATTAATGATTAATGAATAATTATTTTTTTAATTATGTTGTTCCTTGGTCTTTTAATTTATTTTTAATATTTATTTATTTATTTATTTAATTATTTTTTGATCTAGTCAAGCGCGCGCTATTTACATTTTTCGCGTTTGTAACATTCAAATATAACGTAAGCCGTGACACGTAGTTTGTAACGTACCTTAATATAAATTCAAATGTACAACAGTTAAATGCTCATTTGCAACTGAAGGTGACATGAGAATGTCGAAACATGTCTTGTAAATTTAAACTCAAATTAACAAAGAAATGTGTAGTAGTTAGAGGGGAGAATTAACAATTAGTTCTTGGGAGTGACTGACTCTTAGTTTACCTGTCCAGGATGATCGACTCCCATCTTCTTTGCCGCATAGTTGTTGTATATTTCATCCACCACCTGGATTTCTGCGTAGTGATTCCCGGCTCCAAGTGTGCCAAGCTAATCATTCCGAGAAGAAGATAAGCCATGAGAGTCACCCAGCTCAAAGAGTTTCTACAACTGACGCTCGAAACGGAGACCAATAATTGACATCATTAACTCAGTTGATAAAACCAAATTATCTTGTCATAACCTCCTCCATAACAGCAACACAGTTTCTTTAGAAACTTGCCCTTTTTACCCAGATTAAAGACCAACCCAAAGAAGTTATCTGTCCGTTTGAGAACAATTTTGGTCGAAAGATGAAAGTGACCTTGCCGCCACTGGTCTACCCTCGCAACGCTCTGCGATTGGTGAAGAAATCTCGTGTCACCCTCCACTAAAACTAGTTGTCCCTGGGTAACTTGCCTTTCGTTCTAGATTCGCAGAGTTAGCTCATTTTTGCAACAAGTTCCTACTGATTCATCGTGATATTTGACTTTAATCTACTTGTTTGTTGCGATTCGGTTAGGTGTGGTTACAAACGACTTCTAAAAGAAGAGCACTTTAAAATAGGTTGCAAAGAGTCTGTCAGTCAATTGTGTTACCATTGTTGCACAGTCACCGTTCGTATCTATGCGCCGGCTTGGATTTTTGAAATAAGGTAGAGCTACAAATGAAACTTATGCGCTTCTGTATTTACCACATGTATTTACCTGTGGCAAGCCTCGTTTCTTTGCTCTTGCACTGACTTTTCCTGGGTCAGCCTGCAGCATTCGTCCATACTCTTCACAGTGCTCCTTATCCTCAGCCCATGCATAGCCTGGGTAATAACAGAGATGACACACAAATCAAAAAACCTTATCCTCAGCCCATGCATAGCCTGGGTAATAACAGAGATGACACACAAATCAAAAAACCTTATCCTCAGCCCATGCATAGCCTGGGTAATAACAGAGATGACACACAAATCAAAAAACCTT